AACAGCAGCCTAACTGGAACAATGCACCACAACAAGGAAACTATCAGAGGCCTGCTCAACCCCCAGGATTTCACAGACAAGATGGTCAACCTCCCAACTATCAGAATCAGCAGCGTTCTAACCAGCAGTACATACCAAGGGAAGACGAATGGATTTCTGTGCAAAATGCAATCAAGAATTTGGCAGTGTCTTGGAAAAGTTTGGAGAATCAGTTAGCCCAGATTGCAAAACAAAATGCTGAAAGACCATCTGGAAGCCTGCCCAGTGATACGGTTGTAAACCCCAAGGGGAATGACCAAGAGCAAGCAAAGGCTGTCACTCTTAGAAATGGAAAGCAACTCAATCAGCCAAGTGAAAAAGTCACTCCCGTGAGTGACCCTGCAGGTAAGAATGAAACATTTTCTGAAAAAAATATATGATAATGATGATGTGGTTGAACAGGAGCAAACAGCTGAAAAACCTGGAATGGGGGAAATTCAATTCCCAGCACCAATTAAGGATCCACAATAGCTAGCTCCAAATCCACCATATCCGGTAAGACAAAAGAAGGCCAAAATGGATGAAGGACTCAACAGGTTTATTCAAAACTTAGAAAGTATACATATTAATGTACTACTTGTTGATGCACTTAAACAAATGCCTAAATACTTCAAGTACTTGAAAGATTTGGTGGCCAATAAACCACAAATGCATGACTCTGCTTTTGTCACTCTAAATGAAGAATGTAGTGCAGCTATCCTGAGAAAATTGCCACCTAAGTTGAAAGATCCAGGTAGTTTCACTTTGCCTTGTACAGTAGGAATCAGAGAATTTTCAAAAGCATTATTAGATCTTGGGGCGAGCATAAATCTCATGCCATTGTCTGTATTTAAATCACTTGATTTGGACAAATTTCTGGTACCTACTAACATGACCTTGCAGTTGGCAGATAGGTCACTGACCTACCCAAAGGGAATCTTACATGATGTTCTTGTGAAGGTTGGTAATTTTGTTTACCCAGCAGACTTTGTGGTTTTGGACATGGAAGAAGACAGGGATGTGCCCATCATCTTGGGGAGACCTTTTCTGGCAACAAGTGATGCAATCATTAAGGTGAAGAAGGGAGAAATCACACTGCACTTTAATGGAGAGAAGGTTACCTTCAACATCTTCAAAAATATGAGATATCCTGCTGAAAACATAACTGCTACATGGTAAGAAGTGTAGAAGCAAAAGGAGCAGCGACAGAAGAATTACTGCAAGATGAGCTCCTCAAGGAACTTTTGTGCCCAGACTATAATGAGGAACAAGAAGGAGGGGATGAGTACAGGGTCACTTGCCTGAGTTACCTGAACCACTCACCCAAGTGGCATCCTAAACAACAACCCTTTGAACTGTTAGATCTGACTAAGGAAGGAAGATGCCTTAAACCTTCAATTGAAGAACCACCTCATCTCGAACTTAATCCTCTGCCCTCACATTTGAAGTATGCCTATATTGGAGCAAGTAACACCTTACATGTGATTATTTCTTCTATGCTTACAGGTACTGAAGAGGACAAATTGCTGAGAGTACTGAGATTGCACAAGGAAGCCATTGGGTGGTCAATTGCAGACATTAAGGGCATCAGTCCTTCCATTTGTATGCACAAGATCTTGCTTGAAGATGATGCCAAGCCAACCATTGAAGGAAAAAGAAGGCTCAACCCAGTCATGAAGGAAGTGGTGAAAAAAGAGATTATCAAGTTGCTGGATGCTGGAATCATCTTCCCAATATCTGACAGCAAGTGGGTGAGTCCAGTCCAATGCGTGCCCAAGAAGGGAGGAATCACGGTGATAAAGAATGACCTCCAGGAGCTAATCCCTACAAGGCTGAACAATTCATGGAGAGTGTGCATGGACTACAGAAAGCTTAATAAAGCTACCAGAAAGGGCCACTTTCCCCTTCCTTTTATTGATCAAATGTTGGATAGATTGGCTGGATTTATGTATTATTGTTTCCTTGATGGTTTCTCAGGTTACAACCAGATTGCCATAGACCCTGATGATCAAGAGAAGATGACTTTCACCTGCCTTATGGCACATTTGCCTTCAAGAGAATGCCATTTGGACTGTGCAATGCACCGGTAACATTTCAAAGATGTATGATGGCCATTTTCTCTGATGTGGTGGAAGACATAATTGAGATCTTTATGGACAACTTCTCAGTTTTTGGTAAGTCATTTGATGCATGTCTGGACAACCTTGGACTGATATTGAAGAGATGCATAGAAGCAAACCTAGTCCTCAACTAGGAGAAATGCCATTTTATGGTGGCCAAGGGAATTGTCTTGGGGCATAAAATCTCACAGGAAGGAATTGAAGTGGACAAGGCAAAGATTGAAGTCGTAGAAAGGCTCAACCCGTCAACCACAGTCAGGGGAGTGAGGAGTTTCTTAGGCCATGCCGGTTTTTACAGGAGGTTCATTAAAGATTTTTCAAAAATTTCTAAACCCTTGTGTAACTTGCTTGAAAAGGACACTGCTTTCATTTTTGATGAATCTTGTTTAAATGCATTCACTGAACTAAAAAGGAAACTCATCACTGCACCTGTGATCATCACACCTGATTGGTCACAACCTTTTGAACCAATGTGTGATGCTAGTGATTTTGCAGTTGGTGTTTTACTTGGACAAAGAAGGAACAAGGTGTTACATGTGGTTTACTATGCTAGTAAAACCCTCAACCCTGCACAAATCAACTACACCACTACAGAGAAGGAAATGCTGGCAATTGTATTTGCATTTGACAAATTCAGAGCTTATTTGTAGGGATGAAAGTCATAGTCTATACCGACCATGCTGCCATCAGGTACTTGATCAACAAAAAAGAGTCTAAGCCTAGGTTGATTAGATGGGTGTTGTTGTTGCAGGAATTCAATTTGGAGATAAGAGACGGAAAGGGTGCTGAGAATCAGGTAGCAGACCATCTGTCAAGACTTGAAGAAATTCCAGAAGACACAACTCCAATTTCAGAAAAATTCCCTGATGAATCACTCTGGCGAGTGACAGGCACACTCATGGGAGTGACAGGTAACAGGCCTTGGTTCGCAGATTTTGCTAACTTTGTTGCTGCTGGTGTTATTCCCCCAGATCTCACCCCTCAACAACGCAAGAGATTCTTGCATGATGCTCAACTCTACCTATGGGATGAACCCTACTTATTCAAAAGATGTGCAGACCAATTGATCAGAACGTGTATTCCAGAATCTAAATTCACAGAGGTGTTGCATAAATGCCACAATTCTCCCTGTGGTGGACATTTCAACGGTCAAAGAACGGCAATCAAGGTTCTGCAAGCCGGACTGTATTGGCTAACTCTATTCAGAGATGCAAGAGAATTTGTCAAAGGCTGTGACCGGTGCCAAAGAACAGGAAACATTTCCTGGAAAAATGAGATGCCACAGCAGAACATGCTTGAAGTGGAGCTGTTTCATGTATGGGGGATAGATTTCATGGGTCCCTTCGTGTCATCTTCTGGGAACTCCTACATCCTACTTGCAGTGGATTACATTTAAAGATGGATAGAAGCCGTAGCTGCAAGAAATAATGATGCTAAGACTTTTCTCAGGTTTCTACGAAAAAATATTTTTGCCAGATTTGGTACACCCAGGATGATACTCAGTGACGAAGGATCACACTTCTGTAACAAGTCATTTGCAGCCATGGTAAAGAAATATGGAATCAGGCATAGAGTATCAACACCATACCATCCACAATCACACGGGCTAGCAGAAGTGTCAAACAGGGAAGTGAAAAGAATCCTGGAAAAGGTTGTCAACTCTACCCGAAAGAATTGGTCCTCAAAGTTGGATGAAACTTTATGGGCATACAGAACAGCATACAAGACTCCCATTGGTATGTCCCCATTCAAATTGGTCTATGGGAAAGCATGCCACTTGCCAGTGGAGTTGGAACATAAAGCTTACTGGGCTATCAAGGAACTGAATCTTGATCTAGGCAAAGGCAAGGAAATGAGATTGATGCAGTTGAATGAGCTGGAAGAATTCAGACGAGAGGCATATGAATCTTCCAGGCTTTATAAGGAAAAAACTAAGGCCTACCATGATCAGCACATTGTCAAGAAGGATCTGCAAGAAGGACAAGAAGTCCTGCTGTTCAACTCTAGACTGAAATTCTTTCCAGGGAAGTTGAAGTCAAGATGAACCGGTCCCTACAGAATCAACAAGGTCCTAACTCAAGGAGCAGTAGAGATCATGAATCCACAAGAATGGCAACACCTTTTTGGTTAATGGTCAGATGCTTAAACCATACCTTGGATGGACAGAAAGGAGTAAAGGACAGAACTATCCTGTTCTGGTCCTAAAGGAACTTAACTGAAAACTTTTTTGAAGTCTGGCATGAGACTTAAAACCAATGTGCTTTATGGGAGGCAACCCATACGTTTTGCTTTTATGGGGCTAACAATGTGCTATTTTAATTTTGCAGGAATGGACAAGGTATTTGCCACCCCAACAGAGTTCAGAAAGTGTAACATAAAAGGCCTCAGGTAAACTCACTCCTAGGAGTTAAGAAGGTCACTCAGCCGAGTGAACCTATGGGAAAGTAATGTTATAAGTCTTCTAACCCTGACGTCACTCACACAAGTGGGACAATCCACTCGCCTAAGTAAGAACAACTGTACAACACTTTCTACAAAAACTCACCTTTTTGAGCTGTAATTATGGCTTGAGTTTGGGGGGAAAATTTTTTCTGAAAATTTTCAAATTTCAATTTTAACCGCGTCCGTTTTTTTTGAGTCACTCGAGTCAACCACGACTCTCCAAAAACTTTAACTGTTGTGCATTAATTCACAACTCCTCCACTGCTTCGTCTTCTTCATCTTCTCCCTATTTCCAGAACCACCTATTCAATTACCACTTCCCTGTGTGAACGTACTGACAATTTCTCTGAGTTTTCAGGCAACTAAGGCAAAAATTCAGATTCAATTAAAAATCCCTCTTTCAATTTGCCAATTCAATCCCTAGGGTTTGTACAAGATGCCGCCGGCAAGAAGGAAGGTTGATGCCCGCAAAAACACCTCCAACACAAGAAGAAGAATATCATCCTCCTCATCCTCGCCTTCTCCTGAAAGGCAAAGAATGCCCACTTCACCACCATCCCCTGCCAGAGAACCTACTCTGCCTCCGCCTCCACAACCACCAAGGGCTTTGCAAGAACAACCCTCAATGCCATCACCGATGAGTGGGAGCCGAGGTTGTTTCCAAGAAAGAAGGGCTGGGATTTCTTTTTGAAGCACATACGCCGGAAATTTATTACAGAAAGAGGAATCGCTGAAGACGGCGCATCTTTCACCTATATCAAGCGCCATGGATGGGAGACCTTCTCCAACCCACCTGTCAAGCCTAGGACCCAGATTGTGCAAGAATTCTATGGCAACTTCCAAACTGCCCCCAGAGACGGAGTATTTGTCAGAGGCATCAGCGTCAATTGCAGCACAGAAGCTATCAGGGCCATCTGGAAGTTACCAAGAATCAGCACTGATTACAGGGAAACCCTTGCTGCCCTGCATCCAAATCAACCACTGGAACACGCCGTTCTATCTAGATTGGCAAAAGAAGGCACAAGCTGGGAGATGGATGATCAAGAAAACCCTCTGGGATTTTCAGCAAACGCGTTACAGACGCCTGATTTAAATTTGTGGAACCATTTCATCTGCTGCAATCTAATGCCAACATCCTACACCGCTAAGGCCACCTATGAGATGGCTCTGCTGCTGTATGCCATTGTCACGGACACACCATTGATGCAGCCTCAGTCATCCGAGATCAGCTCACTCGATGCATCACTGATCCAAAGGTGAAGAGCTGGTATTTTCCAGTTATGATCACCATGCTTTGCAAGAGGGCAGGGGTGACCTTCCTACACACAGACGCAGAGAGCAACTTGCAGCAACCATTGAGGATGCATAAGTTGGACCAAAAACCCCCAGGTGCCTCATCCACTCCCACTCCAGCTGGACAATTGAGGCAGAGGGATTTCAACAAGCAGACCAGGTTCATCCTGGATTATGTCCACCAATGCCAGATGAGCACGGAGAAATTCCTGCAGGAAATGCACAAGTGCATTGGATGCCCTGAAAACTGCCCAATGCCGCATGATCCACCAGTCCATCCACTCCATAGCATGCCTCAATGAACACTCAGGGAAGTGTTGTTCGACTTCTCTTAATCAGCAATTTATTTTTTTCTGTTAAAATGATGAATTTCTCATTAGTTCTGTATTTTTCTTTGTTTTCTGTTTAATGTGTGTTGCCGGGTATGTTATGTTAAGCATTGAGGGCAATGCTTAGAATAAGTTTGGGGGAGTAATGTAGTAGTTAGTTTGTGGTTAGGTCAATGTCAGGACAGTTATCATTTAGGTCCATTAGGTTCATGTCTAATCGACTCTGTAAAATATCTCTCAAAAATGAAAATTTTCTAAGGAGTTGTCAACAGTCTAGGATGATAATGGTTTTGAAAAATAATTTTGCTAAACCACTTTTCATACTGAGTCTGATGCATGAAGGAAAGAATGGCTGACACTCACTCACACACATGAACAATGCCACTCGTGGAAGTGACTGCTTGGAACATAAAGTTTAAAAATTTGGCATGACTAATCCATTGTTGTGAGCTGTGTCTAGTTCTGAGCTACAATTAGATGAGAGATGCCGTAAATCTGAGACTTCCTTTGTGGTATCCATTCACAGCCTGCTTGTTTTTTTTTTAAAAAAAAAAAAATTGTTGTTTCTAGGGAATGGATCAACTGAAACCTTAGGGGTAGCAGCAAGGAACCACCACAAAAAGTTCCACACTATTGGATTAATAAGGGTTGAGGTATAAGGCAGTGGAGAGATAAGGTTGAATAACACCCTGTTAGGTTGGTCCATCCACATTCCCACTGAATAAAAAAGAAAAAAAAAAGAAAAAGAGAAAGCAGAAAGGCTGTGCAGGAACCCATGATTAAAGCCTCAGTAGGTAAATCGAGTCAAGTAACTTGGGCAAGACCAGATCACAAGAATGACCACCAAAAGCTTAACAGGTTAACTTAGAATGGATTGGTAGGTTTGGCATGAACTAACACTTGTGGCATATACATTCTAATTCCCTGTGAAGGTTGGTTGTTTGACTCTGGATTGCAGAAAGATTTGGTATCCTTAAATGTATGTTTTCTTCACTTGAATCTGAGACAAAAGGTTGACAGCACTTATCTAGTAGTGTTTAAGGTTGTTGCTTTGTTCAGTGTCACCTACCTGAGTGGGAATCCTCACTCAGGGGAGTAAGTCAGTCTTCAGTCATTTTGACAATGTTGTTTTCCCCTGTTTGTTATGTGCAATTCTGAAAGTGCCAACAAGAGTTCAGTTGTTTTGCTTGAGGACAAGCAATTCTTCCAGTTTGGGGGAGTTGATAATAGTTTATTTGTTACATAAAAGTATCACAATTAACTCTGAATTTAGTAAGAAATTGGGGGGTATTTCCTATTATTAGTGCACTCTACTTAACCAGTTTTTGTGTTTTTGTTAGGTTGGGGTTTGATTGCAAAATTGCTGAAAAATTAAGGTCAAGGGAACAATTTGTGGGCTGCTGAGGCAAATGTTGTTGAGCTGGACGAAGAAGCACCTCCTTAGACAAGAAGCATCTTGCCATTAATGAGCATGTCTCCTCCAAGAGGCATGCTTGTCCCCCAGCCAAAATTTCAGCCTCCCCTGCTGATCAATGAGAGCAATGATGCCACTTCTGGAAGAAGAGAAGAAGAACAGCCAAGTTGGATTCCAGGCTCAAGGCATTGGGAGGATTAAACAATTACAAGCATGGGGAGGCTCTCATGATGAAAGAACCGGCTGCAAGGCCCTATAAAAGAGGGAACTGCACTCTCAGAATCCATCCATCTCTATCTCAATCTCTGGTTACCCTTTCAGTTGCCACAGAAACACACAGAAGAACTCCAGGTAGAGGGCAAGAAGGAAGAAGAACAACAGCAACTCAGTAAGGAAGCCAAGTGGAGAGTAGCCATCCCAGTTTCTGCTTCAGTTCTATGAGTGAACCCTTTCACTCCCAGGAGTGGCTCAGAAACTGCACAAGCTTTTTTCTCGTCTCTTGACTGTTAGCTTGCACTTTGTTTATTATGCATACTTCTATGATGTCTTTTGATGTAGTAGATGTAGCATTAATCTGTATGAGTAGCTAAACAGTTTTCAGGGGTTATTCTCCTCAACTTATGTTGTAGTTGCAATGCACTGGTTTTGTTCCTTGTTTTAAGGTTGAAAGTTTTTCTACATTCATTTACTTGATCACTAAATTGAATGCATGCTAGAACTAAGGGAGATCTAGAAAGATAAACTTGGTTTGGATTGTTTCAACCTTAACTTATGACATAGAGGTAACAGTCTCTGGTTTTAACTGAGATAGGAATATACTTAGTTAACATAAGCATTCTTGAAGGCCTAAGAACTTAATGACTTTGTATCTGGAATCAATCATTGGAAAATAGATTGTAAGGTTGTAAAGAAGACTCTAGGAAAAATGGGAACTGACTTAGAGTTATAAGTGAGCTGAATGAACAAGAACTCAACCATTACAGTGCTAATAAACAACTACAACAGTAAGAAGAGGAGAAGAACACCCCTGGCCTTCATTCCCCTGAGTGACTGTTTCCATTCCCCTGAGTGACACCTTGTCTGACTGGTAGTTTTTATTTTTACAACAATTTTGGTAATTAGCTGTTCTCGTGGGATCGACCTAGCTTCCATTTTCTACAAAAATCATAATCCAAGCTAGTAATATTTTTGGTGAACTTGGCACGCACCAGTGAACAAAATCCAAAAAAAAAACACTGAATTTCCATAAGTTGAGCAGCTATTTGAGCCATTGATTTGCATTTTAATGTTGCTATACCTGAAAGGTTTCACTGGCCCTAAGTGGCATCTCTCTGATAGTGCAAATTGATCTTGTCTTTTTAGAGCTAGCAAAAATTGAAAAAAAAAAGATGTGCATTGATGACTACACTATGAAACTCTTTTTCTTTTCTTTTTTTTTGGTATAAATACAAAAGTAAATACTATTATTTATAAATCACATTTTTGTCCATCAAATGTACCAAAATCAATTTTTTATTCTAAGAATGATTGAATTTGGTCTTGTTAATGGGAAAACTGGATCAAAACCACAATGTTAATGGAAACAAACCTTTAGTATCATAAGGAAATTACCGTTTTATGCTTTGTTGGACATGTGCAAAACCAAAAATAGTCTATGTAAAAATAAGAGTAAGTCTACGTAGCACTCACCCTATCTCATACACTCAAAGCATTGAACTGTTTGCATCAGACATTGATTGCAATTGTGGCTGTGGAAAAGTCTTAACGAGCAAAAACATTAGTTTTAATTATGTAACAAAACTTATTCTTTGAAAATCAATTTTAACTAATTTATTGTGTGATTAAATATGAAATTAACTTAAACATTATATAATTTTTCCAGCTGAAATGATACAAATAATAATCAAACGTTATAATTTTACATTGATGGAATGATATAATGACATAACATTAAGAGAACTATTCAGTCACTTCGTACAATATTTTTTTTTGTTAAATTTGATCTTGGTAGAGATTTGGACAAACTTTGATGGATATTTTTTAAAAAATTATTAAATTAATTGATTTTAAACATACAACATTAATAAACTTTGTTAATTAATATCAAAACCCATACATGTGACCTAATGATAATTTGAGAAATTGCCATAATAAAACGGCCAATGGGTACTGGTGAATTGAAGACTTATGTACACTATCTTTTTAAACAGAGCGTATTTTTTTACTAACTAGCACCTGATCTGCTACAAATAAAATAAAGGGTATTTTTCTCCCTCCAGAATCTTTTGGCCAAAAGAATCTCCTTCCAACAATTTGGACGTGGTTTTGATCATTCCGTCCAACAATTTACATCCAAAATAAACTTCTCTCCAAATTGCACCTTGTTATTTGATCATTTGCCAAGCTAAAAAATGTTCAAGATTCTCCAAATTTAATTATGAAATTATTTAAATTACTTTTAACCAAAAACAAATTTAATTACTTTAATCATGAGAAACTTATTTGAAGAAATCACCCATTTTGGTGCATATATGAATAGAGATATAATTAAATAAATACTATCAATTGTCTATCACATGTAAAAACATTAAACTTTATTTTTTCTCAAAAATTAAGATCAAAGTCATAAAGGTTCATTTTACAAGTGTCTCAATATAGTGTTCTATTATCAGATTTTTGTTGAAGTGTATCAACAAAATTTCAACAAGTGAAGTAATATAAAAGTTTCCCAAATGCATATTTATTAAGACATAGAAGATATTGTATCTTAATGCAAGTGTGTCAATTGAGGGGTTTCTCTAGTAGTGTCATCAAACTAGTGGTCGGGGAGGTTTGTGTAATGGTATTCATGGACTTGGTGCTTCTCAAATGCAACAATCTCTAGCATTCCATTTATTTATCCTGCCCATTACTAAGTTCATTTCATCATGAATCATATCATTTACTTGATGAATATTGTACTTATCAAGACTAGGATTCCAAAAACCCAACGTAAAATATCATATATATATATGGAATAAAGCTATATACATATATATTTTTTTAGTCTTGGCACAAAATTCTCTGTCACTTTCATTATAGATATAATTGGCAACACTGTGTTTGTATGTTTGATATGGTATATTTATTGGCTTTATTATGTTTTAACTCAAAACTTTATCTTGGCTACAACTTCATTACCAACACTAATCATCGTTGTATCTTCTTGACTACTAATTACTTACCCAACATTCATATTTGATGCATTCAAAGAAGTTCTTGTATTTCCACTATAACTTTCCTTACCAACATCAATTGCCATATTATTTTTTTTTTTACTGTTATTGTCTTAATATTCATTTTTGCTACGATCAAAGAAATTCATAGAACTTTCTCTTAACAAACAAAACATTTTAAGGATCAATCTTCACAATCCGTAAGTGTTGAAATACCCATGTTTATGCCACTTGTTGTGTAAATCACACTCCTCCTTCCATCAACACAACTTATGGCACGTCAAAAACCAAAGGAAAAATCATGTGGTTCATGGTTCTGAGAAATTATC